GATACTATATACTATAGGATGTCCTGCTACTATATACTATACGATGTCGTGATACTATATACTATAAAGGATGTCGTGATACTATATACTATAGGATGTCGTGATACTATAGGATGTCGTGATACTATATACTTTAGGATGTCGGGATACTATATACTATAGGATGTCGTGATACTATATACTATAGGATGCCGTGATACTATATACTATAGGATGCCGTGATACTATATACTATAGGATGCCGTGATACTATATACTATAGGATGCCGTGATACTATATACTATAGGTTGTCGTGATACTATAGGATGTCGTGATTATATAGGATGTCGTGATACTATATAGGATGTCGTGATACTATATAGGATGTCGTGATACTATATAGGATGTCGTGATACTATATAGGATGTCGTGATACTATAGGATGTCGTGCTACTGTCGTGATACTATAGGATTTCGTGCTACTGTCGTGATACTATAGGATGTCGTGCTACTGTCGTGATACTATAGGATGTCGTGATACTATAGGATGTCGTGATACTATAGGATGTCGTGCTACTGTCGCGATACTATAGGATGTCGTGATACTATAGGATGTTGTGCTACTATACGATGTCGTGCTACTATAGGATGTCGTGCTACTATAGGATGTCGCGCTACTATAGGATGTCGCGCTACTGTCGTGATACTATACGATGTCGTGATACTATAGGATGTCGTGCTACTATAGGATGTCGCGCTACTGTCGTGATACTATAGGATGTCGCGCTACTGTCGTGATACTATAGGATGTCGTGCTACTGTCGTGATACTATAGGATGTCGTGCTACTATAGGATGTCGTGATACTATAGGATGTCGTGATACTATAGGATGTCGTGCTACTATAGGATGTCGTGATACTATAGGATGTCGCGCTACTGTCGTGATACTATAGGATACATTATATGATACATTTCCAGATCATAGGTACGGCCCAAAAAAATACTATGAAAAAATGTAAAAACCAAACCCACCTTGTATATCATCTTGCCGCTGCAGCGCGGGTCTCATGGATCGTATAGTGTCCGGGGGTTTGTAACTTCGAGGGTCGTTAAAGTTTTGCGCTGGGCCGCCCGCATTTGGCTGCCGCATCTGATCATAGTCATTGGCTGCGGCATTGAAGTCCCATTTCTTACCTAAGATGAGAGCAAAACATTTATCATTAGAAATACAAAATACACTCGGCTCCGCCCCCACACACAATCGGCTCCGCCCACACACACGGCTCCGCCCCCACACACAATCAGCTCCGCCCCCACACACGGCTCTGCGCACACAGAAGTTTTGTTATAACTTCCTTATATTCCGGGTCTGGTATAATCAGCACAATTTGTGGCCGTTATTACGTTGTGGAGAGAGTGGGGAAAGGTCATCACCCCCATCACTTCCTGTCCTGTAAGAGAGGAAATCTCTCCATAGTGAGAGTAAATTCCCTCTTAGACAACTGTCCGCACTGGAAGA